GCCTCGGTCATCATTACTAAAGTCAGTACGATAAACAGCATAGTCTCGATTATCTATTTAATCGTTTTATCGAGAAGGAAAGTTATGCAGTAAATCGGCTCACAATCCACTTAAGATCGCAGGCTAGCGATGCCATCTAGAGTTCATTATTATCTGGATAAGTTAATTAAGGTCTAATTAATAATTTAGATAACATTTCAGGCCTAAAGAAAGACCTGCAATAGACAGATTTGGCTCTTGCATAATGTATGTTTAATATTAGGGTAACAGACTGCAGCCCAGTAAGCCCCTCCCCCTCCCTTAATCTGGCCAATTGTGGGATAGTGAACACTGCCAAGATATTCACAGTCTGATTAAAATATAGATCTATATTTCGTTTCGTTTGTTTTATACTTTCGATGACTTCTACTACATGAAGATCTGACCGGTTGTAATGGAAGGTCGCGTCAGGGTCGTATGATCGGCTTTTTAGCCTATGGCGTCAGTCATTTAATTAACCAATCAGCGTTGATGTTTCTAGTGGGTTAACCAATCGCCGTAACCGACCGTAAAAACGAAATTTTGAACTATAAAAAAACGAAACGAAATAGGATCTGTGTTTTAATCAGATTGGCCTTCCCCCTCGCCTTAATTAGGCCCTGACTATTGTGGGATAGTGAACGGTGCCAAGATATTCGGAAAGACACGAGGAAAGATTCGGTTTAATAAACCCATTGCTCAGACAGAAAAATCTGTCTTACATCGCGTTATTTGGCAGAATAAAATCTTACACTTTAAAATAAGATGCATTATAAGGTATTCGCACGGTACCGTATTACCGAGGCCCCGCCGTGTGCACATTATAAGGTATTCGCACAGTACCGTATTAGCGAGGCCCCGTGTGCAAATCATAAGATATTCGCAGGGTACCGTATCAGCGAGGCTAGTGTGCACATAAAAAGATATTCGCATGGTACCGTATCATCGAGGCCCCGCGTGCACATTCGAATGCACGTAATAGATCCCCTGACAGTTGGAATTCGGTAAGAAGTAAACGTCACTCACACTACACTGCATGGTGATCCCGGTTGTTACTAGGGAAGTGGGAATTAAACCTCATTTCATTTTCTTTGGAATATAATAAGTATATTATTTTCGTTCTTGGGAGGGTATTGTGTACTCCTTTAGTTAAATACGCAATGCCAGGTGTTTTCCTTTTGCGTTCGTCACTTTCCTTTCTTGAAAGCTTCATAACGCATGTATGGTAGCAATGATCTCTGTGTTAAAATTATATTCGGAACGTGTTTAAAGAGTTCTATCACATATTTTATAATGACTGACACCAATATTGTCCTTTAATAGTATCCCTGAAATATGCTTCAAGTGGAACAATATTCTACTCATTACAATCCAGAGAGGAAGGATCTTTCTTCAACAAAGAAAACGCGTGATCAACGGCGTCCTCGTGAATTTCTTACTAGGAAAAGTGACCTTTAGCGAGTATTGTTATTCTTTTAAATCAAGTGATACCAATACGCCTAGAGTGCCTAAAAACTGTTGAAGTGGTCGTGGAGAACTACTCCATTGGCTTTCGAGGAAACAATGTGTTCTGTGTACAGTGTGAATCAAAGTTGTGAAACGGACATCGGGGGACCAGCGAATAAAGACATTGTTGTTCTACGCGTAACCTTAATAAATAGGAATGCTGAAATAAAGTAGCTTCGCAAAACAGGAACCAAATCAATTCACGAAAGCGAAATGAAAATGACAAATAGGAATATAATTCGATGGAAGCATTACATTATATATAAAGGGCCATGCGAACCCCACCCCACCCCACCCACCCCCCAAAAAACTTGGACCCAAGTTTCATTGACGTTCGATATGATCAGCATGTTGCATATCTGTAACAACACCGTGTACGAGTGCGACATATTGTGTCTTAGGCGGCACTAATTCGACTACGATCGCCATGAAATTTATCATGCTTGGACGGACTTCTATTTTTGATATGACGTGTCACAATCCTAAGATGGCTGTGATGACGTCATTGTGGGTTCCTGGTTTATGGTATGGTTAGTTCTAAATATTAAGGTCACTTGCAGATTTCGGCATGGTCACGAGATGTAAACAAGGTTAGGGTACATGATTGTGGTGGGTTAAGGCTAAGGGTAGAGTTGGCGCTAACCCTAATTTACATATTGTGACCTTGACGAAAGCTGCAGGTGGCCTTACTATTTAGATCTAACATACTATAAACCAGGAACTATTGAACCATTATTGGACTGGAATTACTTTTAGAGATTCAACTTTCACAATGTTGTAGTTAGCCAGGGATACTATAGTGCTGAAATCACGCATATAGTAATGAAATTAAATGGGGTTTAACGTCCTACTGTTCTACTCCGAACTGGGCTAATGAAGACAGGCATACGCCATACAGTGTGCTATGAGGGAAATTTTGCCCGGACAGCGGCACTACGGCTTAGTCTTATATCGAATTCCAGCAGCAAAGGGATCTTTAACGTGCAAACCAATATGTACACGGGACCTCGATTTTTCGTCCCATCTGAACGACTAGACAGCTGTCCTGGTCGGGCTCTCTGTCCTACATCACTGACAAGGAGGAACCACGCCGGAAAATCTGGATGAACTTTCTCGGCAAATGCAGAGATCGAACACCCGACCTCCAGGCTTGCGAGTCAGCGTCTTACCCACTTAGCCACCGTGACCCCCCCCCCCCCCTCGCATATAGTCTTGTACTGTATAATAATATATTTTTGTTGTTTGTTATATGTCAAGCGGGCAATGATCTGTGTAATTGATATCGACAAGAACCGGGGATTTAACCAATCACCAGCCGCGTTAATTATGTTCCGTGATTGACAGGACATGGCACAGTTAATTAAACAATTCCACCAAACAGTTGGGGCCCCCGATAACTTGCATTCATTTTCAATATAGTTAACCATTAACTGTACATACAGTTGACTTTGTAAACAATGTCTTCTCCATTTACCAGACAATCTTGAGTACACGGCAGTTATTACTTCCTTTTAATTAGATGCGAGTTCGTACCTTAGATTTGGTGACAAAGAAAAATGGCGTATAAGCACTAATGGTCATTATAGTTTATATATTGGTACGTCTTTGGAAATTAAATGGTGTTCATCGTCTTTGCACCGAATGGGCTAATGAGAGAGAGAGAGGGGGGGGGGGAGAAATGGGGTTTGAAATCCACTCGACACAAACTATAACGTAGGTCATTTCGGGGCTAACATATTGTTCAATTTTATTTCAATAATTCGCTTGCGCGTAGGGGTCTCTGCAGGCGACCCTACTCCTTGTCAGGCACAACCGGGGAATCGAAACCACGCCAGTTGACTCAATGACAGACCTTATGATACAAAGCTCATGTGCTAATAATCGCTAATCAATTATTTGCAGGCATATGATTTTTACGCCGTAAACTATAAATTTAGCTACCCGTCATAAACATTGTCTTTAGCTGCCCGTCATAAACATTGTCTTAAAGGACAATATTGGTGCCAGTCATTATCACATATGTGATAGAACTGGTTAAACACTTTCCAAATATCATTTCATCACAGAGATCATTGCTACGATAGAGGCGTAATCAATGCTTCAACAATCGGGAATGACGAACGCAAAAGGAAAACACGAGTTATCCCTCTATATAAGTGATTGAAGTGACGGGTGATAACAGGTACATGGGCGAATTTCTGCCCACTAATAATTCCTTCGAAGACCAAAAGTTGTTATATGAGACTGTAAGAGTATATCTGACAATTCAAAAAACCGAATTCAAAATTAAACCGTGTTTATGAATTTAGCTACCCGTCATAAACACTGACTTTAGCCACCCGTCATAAACACACTGACTTTTTAATAGCCACCCGTCATAAACACACTGACTTTTTAATAGCCACCTGTCATAAACACTGATTTGAGCCGAATTCAAAATTAAATCTGGGTTTGTGTTATGGCGAGTTCGTCCTTGTCATCGCGTGTTCATTACATTTTATATTTCAAATCGTATTAAATAAGGATATCTATAACGTATAACGAATTTCAGTCGCTTAGTTCTCGGTTCATAGTGAATCAATTTGAATGAAATTTTCACCAAATTGCCTTTACATTATCTAGTTTTTAACTATTATAGTGAGAACTGCCAACTCGTTACCGAATCTCCCATAATGTATCTTTAATTAATAATTTCTATAACATTTCAGGCCTAAAGAAAGACCTGCAATAGACAGATTTAGCTCTTGCATAATGTATATTTAAAGTAGCTAAGTCTCTATCTCAATATCATCCAAAGTCCTCGACATTTAAAACACGAATTATTTGTCAGTTTAAATCAACATTGATGTTGTGATCTTACCGGGAAAAGATGGCCTTCTGATATCCAATATTGAAGACAAAATAAACATTTTACCACTGGTACACGAATCGTGTACCATAATGCGTTATAGTGCCATTTGTAAGAAGGGACTCCTAGAGCGAGGCTAGATATATTCCACAAGTCATGTCAACGATGACCTCATATTCTTATCTGGAGAGCATGCGCAATAAATACTATCGGTGTAGACTGGAATAACCAGATGCTAGAGATTGCCATTCGATTGAGACTTCTGGCATATTTCGCCGAACATAACTGATTTAAAATTAGAGTAAAAACAGAAACGATTGAATGTAAATCAGTTTATATACATTCATATTACATTTTTTATATGCGTTGCGACCCAATTTCTAGCTACCGAATATTAGCTCTTTTAAATCCAGATTGACAACAGACTTATTTGAGAAATATTTTCAAAAGTGATTGTATTTTTTGTAGCGCTATGAGTACGACTATGTGTGGAATTAGCGCAATATAAATGGACTTATTATTATTTATATGCAGCAATTATAGAATGTTTAAAACTGACGTTTAATGACGTCACATTATTCTGACTCGCTACTATAAAACGTTAATTAAATAATACAAACGCACTTACCTGTATATAAAACACAAAATAAAACTGATATTTTCATAAACATGTTCATCTGTTGTGTTGATGTCATATATAAATATAATTCTCAAATAACTTCGTTATCCTTCCGCGCAAAAACTTCAACTGCGCAATTTACTACTGTGCGTTCCGAGCTACTAATATTCCAAAACAAAACGCTTTCCGAATCAATTGTTTTAATTAATATTTGATGTCGTCAGTAGACGGTTCGTTGTATTTGAGCTGTTGTCTATGATTTAATACCGTATATCTTATCCCAGTTCACGAGGAACCAGTCATCGACTATAGAACCGTTGAATAGTTCTCTTCTGAACGTGGTGCGTTGTTCTGTTCTCTCTCAATGTGAAGTTTATTGACTTTTCAATCGAACGAGAGAAAAGGTTTATTTATTATTCATCACGTATACATCTGCTGGAAATATTACGTATCACACTTATTTATCACAATAATTAGGTGATAATTAGCCAGCGTCAATTATGAATTCCTTTAATTAGCACCTCGAGCCGAGCAGATGCACAATCCGAACCCCCCTTATGTCATAATGAACTCGTCTTCTGCCACTAAACAGACGAGCAGAAATTGAACATAAAGTCGTAACTAATTAAAAAAAATGGGGGTTGGATGGCCGGCCGAATGGTAAGCACGTGCGCGATGTATCATAAGGCCAGTCATTCAGTCAACTGACGTGGTTTCGAATCCCCGGTCGTACGTGACAAGGAGTAGGGTCGCCTGTCCAACCTCGTGGGTTTTCTCCGGGTACTCCGGGTTTCTCCCACTCCTAAAGACCCCTACGCGCAAGCGAATTATTGAAATAAAATTAAACCATATGTTAATTCCGAAATGGCCTAGTTTGTGTCGAGTGGACGTTAAACCCCATTTCTTTCTCTCTCTCTCGCTAATTAAAAATTTATTTTGAAAAAGTTTCGTTTCATCCGATACAATGTTACAAGAATCAATATATCGAACATAGAAGCATCCATATAATTAATAAATACCTAATAGGCCTTCTATTGTTACATGTATCATGGTTTCACATTCAAAAATACCTTAAAGTAATGAAAAAATTATTTTATTTTCAAAAAGTTTCGTTTTATGGGATATGGGATATAATGTTACAGGCGGTGTCGGATTTACCATTGTGCTTAGGTGTGCTTAAGTACAGGAGCCCCGTTAGCCAGGAGAGGCCCATATCCCCCCCCCCCCCCAAAAAAAAAAAATCTGAGCAAGTATGCCGGACTACCCTTCTTTGCTTAAGTACAGGGTCCCGTTGGCCAGGAGAGGCCCCATATCCCCCCCCCCCAAAAAAAAAAGAAAATAAATAAATTCTGAGCATGTATGCCAGAATACCCTCCTTCAGGACCCAAGTAACTGGCACAGGTCCTGGTGTGTCCTTAATCCGGTCATGGTTGCAGGACTCGGTATATTGATAATAGAAACATGTATATAATTAAAAAATACCTAATAGATCTTCTTTTGTTACACGTATTATTATTTCACAATTAAAAACCCCCTCTATTGTTTCACGTTTTACGATTTCACCTTTAAAAACATCTTCTATTGTTTCACGTATTACGATTTCACCTTTAAAAACATCGTCTATGGTTTCACGGATCCGCTACCAGAAAAATGCTTTCTGAAATTCTATAGGTAGTGAATTGAAAATGGCACAAGTAGTTAGGAAATCTAATAAACAAGGGAAAACTAACATTAAAAAAAAAATTAGTTTAAATTTAAAGGTGCATTTACTCTTAAAATGTATTAAATCAAATGGGGTTTAACGTCCTACTTTTTTACACCAACCGGGCTAATAAACCAGGCAATCTGATTAAAATACAGATTAATATTTCGTTTCGTTTTTTTTTTTATATTTTCGATTAAGATCTGACCGGTTGTGGCGATAGGTCGCGTCAGAGGTCATACGAGCGGCTTTTGAGCCTATGACGTCAGACTTTTGATGAACCAATCAGCATTGATGTTTCTAGTAGATTACCCACAGTTCCATGCACCTCACGCCAAAAGTTCGCGGTAACAGACCATTTCATTTGCTAATCCCACCCAGTCATTGTACTGTTTTGTAATGCGGTCCGACTCCGGTTCACATTTGTTACACACAAAAAACTTATTAAACGGTTTAAATTATATTAAATGGAAGTAGCATATTTCTCAAAAATTTTGAAATAAACGTATATATAGTGTTTTCCACTAAAAGCGTCGATTTAGCTTCTGATCAAATCCGCGGAGTAGTTTCCTCGACCTAACGCCAAACCTGACGTTGTCTCCACCTTGCCCCTAATCCCCCCACTGCTCAAATTGCTGGACACGCCCCTGATTCGGCCAATCAAACATTTGCGTAATTCGGTTATAAACCGCCACCGTGTTCTTATTCGGACTCCGTAGTTTTGTAGCATTCAATATTTCTGTCGGGTTTTAATTTGCTAGGCTGCTTTTAGAAGTAATAAAACGGTTGAAAACGGCTGAGATCGATGAAGAAAAAATTCAACCATTTTTCATACACTTGTATTGACATAGCCAAATTAATTTTCCGCCAAACCAAATCGATATTTTTAACATCAAAATAGAGAAATCAATATATATTTTTTAAAATAAAAAATGTCGGCGCTATTCAGAGTTAACATTTACACTTGTTGAAATCGATCGTGAATCAATCAATCACGAAACGGTAATTACGAGCTGACTTAAATTAGAAAATTAGCTCGTTCACGAAAACGATATAATTAAATTAGTCCAATCTATCACGCCGTTTTGGTTAGTCTATATCAAGTGCCATGTGTCGTGCGCGAAGTAGTTAAGTGACAATTTTCCGGCGCGATTCCTCCTTGTCAGTGATGCAAGACGGAGAGCCTGACAAGGACAGCTGTCTAGTCGTTCGGATGGGACGAAAACCCCAGGTCGGGACAAAATTTCCCTCACAGCATACTGTTTCCCTCATAGCATGCCTGTCTTCATTAGCCCAGTTCGGCGCAGACCAGTAGGACGTTAAACCCCATTTTATTTCATTGTTAAGTGGGGTAACTTTGGGGTAACTGGTATACAATACTATGCTTTACATTTATTAACAGACACACGGGACCCACGTGATTAGGAGGACAAATTGTGTTCTGTTTTTCTGTGAATGAAAATTGACTGAAAGTAGCAATCGGCAAACTTCGGCATATTCCGTTACTCTACATATTCCGTTACTCTACATCTAGCGTGAAAGTAGTTTCCTTACCTGGAAAATAATACTCTTACCTGGAAAGATAATATTCTAAACTGCAAAATCTCGGATTTTCACCGGAAATATATTATCTCTGCCAGGAAAAAAAAAACCTTTTCAAAGCACACTGTATGGCGTATGCCGAACTCCAACCCACAATAATTTCAGTCACAGGCGTAGGCTGTCATTTCAAAGACAATTTTCGGGAAAAAGCCTACGCCCCCGCCCGCCCCCACCCTACGAACGTGACTACAAGTATAAGTATAAGGTCTAGAGCAGTGGTTCTCAACCTTTTTTTGCCAACGGCACACCTTGGAACACATAAAAAAATAGTGGCACACCTGGCTAAATATACATAAAAATATCTGAATTTTGAAAAATAAAAACATGGTAAGTTAGACGGAATACAACCGTAGACAGAGACTAGTCACAGACACTTAGAATGACTCAAACTAAATAAAGAAAAAACACAGCTATGAACTTATCATCGGATACTCAATTGGGGTCACGTATTTTTTCACATTTTCTAAGTGTGCCGTTCAAAATTTCGCGGCACACTTAGGAGGATCTCGCGGCACACTGGTTGGGAATCACTGGTCTAGAGTTATGTATAGGGATTTAGTTCAGTTGTAGATCGTTACACAGTACAGAGAGAGAGAGAGGAATGGGGTTTAACGTCCACTCGACACAAACTAGGTCATTTCGGGACTAACATATGGTTTAATTTTATTTACATAATTTGCTTGCGCGTAGGGGTCTTTAGCAGTGGGAGGAAACCGGAGGACCCGGAGAAAACCCACGAGGTTGGACAGGCGACCCTACTCCTCGCCACGTACAACCGGGGATTCGAAACCACGCCAGTCGACTCAATGACAGACTTTATGATACAGCGCGCACATGCTAACCATTCAACCATCCAACCCCCCGTTACACAGTACAAGGCTGATACAGGGGATTGCACGGCTATATCTATTTGTCACGGCCAGCTCAATTTACTTCAAGGTCGCAAAATTGTAAATATAATTAGGGCATGTGATTGTTGGCGAGATTGTAGGTTAGGGTTAGGGTAAGCATAGGGGCTAGATCCAGGGTTAGAGTTGACACTAGCGCTAGTCCTGTTTATATCTCGTGACCTTTGACCAAACTTGAAGTTGGCCTTCTCAAATTAATCTAACAGGGATTGCAGGGAATTAATCTTTACACAGGGATCTGTTCAGCCTAATAACAATATGTGTTCTTGTGTTTGATCATCAATTCCCCTCTTACATCAACTAGTCGAGTCTTAACAACAAAGTATTATCAATATTTGGACAACTAACGAATGGGCATCCGCATGAAAATGCCGGCGAATAAAGAAAGAAAGAGAGAGAGAGAGAGAGATGGGGTATAACGTCCACTCGACATAAACTAGGTCATTTCGGGACTAACACATGGTTCAATTTTATTTCAATAATTCGCTTGCGCGTAGGGGTCTTTAGCTGTGGGAGGAAACCGGAGGACCCAGAGAAAACCCACGAGGTTGGACAGGCGATCCTACTCCTTGTCGCATACAATCGGGGATTCGAAACCACGCCAGTTGACTCAATGACAGGCCATCCAACCCCCACCGGTGAATGAAAGCATGAAAATGCCGGCGAATAAAGAGAGAGAGAGAGAGAGAGAGAGAGAGAGAGAGAGAGAGAGAGGGAGGGTATAACGTCCACTCGACAAAAACTAGGTCATTTCGGGACTTACATATGGTTCAATTTTATTTCAACAATTCGTTTGTGCGAAGGGGTCTTTAGCAGTGGGAGGAAACCGGAGGACCCAGAGAAAACCCACGAGGTTGGACAGGCGATCCTACTCCTTATCACATACAATCGGGGATTCGAAACCACGCCAGTTGACTCAATGTCAGGCCTTATGATACAGCACGCACGTGCTAACCATTCGGCCGGCCATCCACCCCCCACCGGTGAATAAAAGCCGATTCTTGATTTAACCAAATATAACTCTTTAATACAAATATGTATAGCCATATCATTATAAATGGACAAATGTTTACCATGGAATATGAATTATAATAATAATATCATGTGTGTGTATATAGGTTACAATAATACAATAATTAAATAG